TGAAAATATTTTTTTTTTTTTATTTTTATTTTAAAACTTTAACATATTTTCAAAGTAAACTCTGAATGGAACAAAATACCGCTGCTATTACAATAATTTAGCGCTTTTCAGAGCATAAGAATAAGATCAAAATAAATGTATTTGCAACAGGCCAAGCCTCTAGTGTATTCGAGCGTCTAGTCGCGTCGGCTGTGTTTGACCTGTCCAAATATTTGAACCAAAAGTGATATTTTAATATGCGATGAATAAATGTATATATCCAAACTTCGCCGTTCGCCGTCGGCCAACTAATTAATCTAATCTTGACGCGTGCTGACAGACAACCTGAGCAGCTGCATTGAGATAAGCTAACGCCGGCGACATTTACAGCATCCAATTGTTCAGTCTTAAGCGGAATGTTGGCCAAGCTGTTGCCGTTGCCGTTGCCGTTGCCGTTGCTGTTGCTACTAAGCTGTGTGGCATGCCACACGCAATCCTTGCAGTTGATCAACTGCAATGCAACACAGTTGCATGCCCTGAAAGATGTGACAACGCTGAGCAGCTTACGTCTGTACAACTGCAGCTGGGAGCAGCAGAAGCTGAAGAATGCAATTTTCTTGCGCTTCAATCAACTGCTTAGCCTGAAATTGGAGCGCAGCCAACTGAATTCCTTGGAGGACTATGCACTGCATGGCTTGGCACGCTTACAGCACCTCTCGTTGGCCAAGAACAATTTGAGCGTGATTAAGTCCTGGTCCGAGGAACCGTTGGCCGCCCTCACCTCCCTCGACATCAGTTTCAATGCCCTAAGTCGACTGCCTGCCAACGGCCTCGAGCAATATCCCAATTTGCAGCTGTTGGATTTGAGTCATAATCGTATCGAGCATCTGGAACCGGACTGCTTTCACAATCTATCACATCTGAAGCACTTGCATTTACAATATAATCAATTACAACTAATTGCCGTCACCTACTTTCATGGCCTTCATCGGCTCTCAAGCTTAAGCCTTCAGCACAATCGGCTTAAACAAGTGGAAGCTACATCCTTTGAGAGCAACACGCATTTGCGTTCGTTGCGCTTGGAACATAATCTTTTAGAGAATTTGCAATTCCTAAAGGATGCTGGTCTGGCGCGTTTGATACATCTCAATTTATCGAGGAATTCGCTAGAGCAGCTACCGCCTTCGGTATTCTCCAAAAACTTTGAACTACAAGATTTGGACTTGAGCTATAATAAGCTAAAAGAACTGCTAAACAATAGCTTCATAGGACTGGAGTCTTTGGAGGTGAGTTAAGGGAAGAAGATCCAGGGAGAGCGAAAGAGACAACTCAGTTGTGTTATTAAGTTCTTGAAAGTGAGATTAGGAATTCAAAGTAAGATTAGTGATCATAACAACCGTCAAGAGAAAAAGATTTAAGAATATTAAATAGATTATAAAATAGAAAATTAATTGACTTTTTACCTATCTCTCCTTTCTCAAACCATAAGGATATATATTCAATGATTCTTCAAAATATTTTGCAGATTATTTAGAGTAGCTTCAAAAGATCAAAAGCTAGAGAGAACGAGGAAGAGAAAGAGGAAGCGATTAAACAGCTGTAGATTGAAAAATGAAATTGAATTGGAAAGCCCCTTCGCTAAGAATGCATAGAGATCAAGAGAAATTTAAGGAAATATTTATAGAAACTTGAAAACAATCAATGCAGCTACAAAGTTTATAATTTATTCAAATATAAAGCTAAACAGCAGAAGATTTTGAGAGTGAAGATTCTGAGTGTGAGAGTGAAGCTAAAGCCCTAAACGAATTGTAAAGCGGAGATTAGCTTAGAGTACTAAAACTGGGGGAAAACAAAACCACCTCAGACATTTTAAATGTTTTTTTTTTTTTTTTTTCAAAACATAAATATGCTACAACTTGCCTAGCTAACCTTAAAGGTAAGCAAGGACAGTAAAAATTATTTATCTCAGCGAAAAGACCCTATTCAAAGAAACTACAAAATTGCAACTTTATATATATAAGTACCTATATAAGTACTTGAAAGATAACAAATTATCTTATCTTATATTATATTATCTTGAGCCCATAGCGCATCAATGTCAGTCATAATCATTTGGAGCACATCGCCGCGGATGCTCTACGCCCTCTGAGCACCCTACTACAGCTCGACTTGAGCTACAATCTCCTCAACTCTCTACCCGAGGATCTGCTGCATGGCAACAATCAGCTGAAGGAGGTTGATCTGTCAAGCAATCAACTGAATCATTTACATCCTGCGCTGCTCCACCAATTGACGCACTTGACTCGATTGAATTTGGCTAGAAATCACCTGGAGGAGGTCAGTTGGCTGCAACAATTGGCGCCTGGTCTAAATCGTTTGGCTTTGCGTGTGGATCTCAGCTCGAATCGGCTGCAGTCGCTCAATTTGAGCAGCCTGATCTTCTTCGAGCAAGTGCAGCTGTCGGACAATCGCTGGAACTGCGCCTGGCTAGTCAAGCATATGCTAAGAACGCCTCCCACAGTCCTGAACTTTGCGCGCTCTTGGCCAATGCTGAGCACCTGGAGCGTTCAGCAATTGTTGAGCATAAAAGGCATCGATTGCTTCGATGGCCAACACAATCGCTCCATTGTGCTGCTCGATGTGAGTGCATCCAGACAACAGGCGGAACCTGATTGCGACTGCCAAGTAAGTCTTTGATTTCATCAGCTCACTTAAGTCATACTTTTATTAATATGGAAGTCCTCGCAGGAGTCTAGCAATGAGCTATATACCTTGACGCCCCCTTTAACCTGGCCCAGGATTCGCACAGATCGCTTTGATTCGCGCTCAGTGATCATCTGGATGCTGGCAGCCATTGCGTTAGCTTTTTCAGGACTGCGCTGGGGTCAACGTTTCATGGATCGCAAAGAGCGCGAGAGAAAGTTAAAAAAAAATCAAGATAAGGTGAGTGATCTATGAGAGATCTAAGATGATCTATGATCAAGCTTTAAAGAGATCTTTGAAAAATATATATGGAATTTTTTAGAGATAAATTTTAAAATCTATGAAAAACCTCTAAATAGTATATCAAAGAATATTAATACATCAGATCAGAGATAAGAGATCAATTAAAGACCTATAACAATTGTATGGACGATCTCTGAAAGATCAGAACTAAATGAGAGCTAGCTAACTAACCATTAGAAATGTATCAAATAAGAATATAATATATAATAGGAATATAATGCAAGGCGAAAGAAAACAACATAAATTATATGAGGCATTTATATGATAACTATCAATAACTAGAGAGTATCAAGGCAATGTAACATATTTCCTAAAAGAATATAAGCCATAGACATTTGGAGACATTTTCTGTAGATATATATAGTACATAGAGAAAAAAGCAAAAGTCCACTGAGCACTAAAAAAAATGTATGACCCAATTAAAATATAATCTGTGTTTTTAGGTTCAATGAATTCTATATTTTTGTGTACATATATGAGTTATATACGAATTAATATTTCTGAAAAGAACACAGATAAGAGGCAGTAGAAACAAACATTTCACTTTCTATTGAACTTAAGAGAGCATTGTACTGCCTGTAGATCAGTTCAATTCTAAATATTCTGGTATTTGTAAATTATAGAGCAATGTACAATTCAACTCTGGTCAATTCTATAGACAAGCAAATAATTCTCTGAAGAAAAAAACATTCTCTAAATACGTAAATTTCCCTTTCTAGCAGCAGCTGATCAAGGTGGTTGCCTAAAATCTTCGATACGATCGCGAAAGATCTTAGTAAGAATAAACACAATAACAGCTACATTTTATAAAATTATAATATTAATTGTAAACTATAATTAAGAAAATCTTTATAAACAATTTCAACATAATCTTTTTTAGAGTTAATAAAAGTAATAATAAAAGTAATAATAAATCATTTGTAGAGTCGTTCGATTAGAGGGGCGTACTTCTTATGTACGATATTACGCCGGGTCTTGAGCGTGGGTCCTAGCTCGCCCGTTGGCACGGAGAACTCATGTGGCAATAGAGCAAACTTTTGGACACGCTGCGCCGATGAGATGGCTTTCAGATTGGCACGCTTGATGCCTGCATCGATAGCTTCGTACAGCTTTGGCTCCGCATTGATATCCAGGGCAGCGGCCAGAGATCTCTCATCGTTGGGCAATTGTAGATCAGCGGGTATATTAAGCAGCTCCGACAGATGCGTCTGATTCAGTCCCAGCTCTTGCAGCCAAGCAATTGTGTCGCCACGCAGCTCATCGAGTGGCAGGCCCGTATGCGGATCAGATTTGGTCTTCAGGGACAACAAGACAGTCAGATACTTGCGATGATCGCCGACCAATAGAGCATTGCTGATACAGGGCAGCTCCTCTTTGATCAGCTCCTCGATGTGCACGGGCGGTATATTCTCGCCGCCCGCTGTGATAATCAGCTCCTTGATCCGGCCGCAGATGACGAGATTGCCGTGCTCGTCCATGTAGCCCATGTCGCCGGTGTACATCCAGCCATCGGGCTTGATGGCCTCCTCCGTCTTAAGCGGCTGTCCCAGATAACCCATGAAATTATGCCGTCCACGCGTCACAATCTCGCCCTGACCCTTTGCATCGGGCTCATGGATCTTCACCTCTATACCGACGAGTGGCGTACCCGAACTGTAGAGGTTTGTCATAGTCTCGTGGAGTGTGATCGCGCCCGCCGACTCCGACATGCCATAGATATCGCCCAGTGGCATATCCAAACCCAAAAAGTAATGCTTCAGCTCGGACGATACAGGCGCTGCGCCGGTTAGAAAAGTTTTGCATTGATCCAGGCCCAACATCTGGCGAATGGGTCGAATGAGTCGATAGGCAAACCAGTATTTCGCTTCACCGTACAGAGATATTTTCTCGCTGCAAAATTAAATCGAGATTAAAGATAAAGATTACTAATAGTTGCTGACAAAAGAGGAGGACCGAAGGCTTGTTTATGGAAAAATCTGTAGAACTGGCTGATGAAATTGATTGTTTTCCTTTGATAATATCCTTAACCAAGAGCATTAAAATTTTTTAATAATCCAAGAAAAGCCCCTTTCGACTAATCTGCTTTTAAAGTTTAAGATGTAAAAAATTCTTTGGGCGAATGATTTTTTCTTATTTGGAAAGTTCTCTTGACGAGTTTACAAGAAATTTGGTGGATATTATGTCTGTACAAACTTGTTTAATTACAGAGTATTATGTAGTCGATTTTATGCTTTTAAAGTATCTATTCTAGCAGGTAAAACCATATACCCAACTACATGATACTCCGTGATTGTAATATTTGATCAGATTTTCCACTTTTCACTTCAACGAAAGTCATTCAGTAACCTCTCTCGTTTCACAATATATTTAGACATAACTCACCCAGCGATCGTCGCTAGCTGATGCTGTTCGACGACATCCCGCGCCTTCGCCAACAGATAACGGGAGTACGGGCTCGCTTTGGCCTCCGCTGCGACCAGACGCTCCTGGAATTTCTCAAAGACGCGTGGCACTCCGAACATTCGGGTCGGCTTGGCCTTCTGGAAGGTGCGCACCAGCGTACCCTTGAGCGCGTCCCTATCGGCAAAGTACACACAGCCGCCATGCTCCAAGGCCAAGAAGACATCAAAGATCTGGGCCGCAATGTGACTCAGAGGCAGATAGCTGACAATACGCTCGCCACCGAGCTCCGTATTCTTCAGCGTAGCTCCGATGATTTTCGTCTCAAAGACCAGACTGTCGTGGGAGAGCATCACAGCTTTGGGCATGCCGACTGTGCCCGATGTGAACACGAGCATCGCGCAATCATTGGCATAAATTGCACTCTCCCTCCGCTGCAATTCCGGCTGCAGTTGCTCCAGGTCCAGTGCCATCAAATGCTGCCAGCTGAAGTAGCCCTCCTCCTGATTGACAAAGGACTCGTACGGCCCGTGCAGCTGAATCACAGTCTTCAGTCGCGGTAGCCGATGCTTGATCGCACGCAGCTTTGCCATTTGCTTCTCGTCATCAACGACACAGACGGTGGCCTCGCTCGTCGCCAAGGCATGGAAACACGCCTCAGCCGAATTACTGGGATAGATGCCAGCCAATACGCCGCCGGCACGCAAAGCAGCCAATTCGGCTATAAACCATTCCGGGCAATTGAAGGCCAATATGCCCAACGAGCTGCGCGCCTCCAGGCCAACGTGGAGCAGCATGCGGGCTGCCAGCTCCACTTGCTGTTCGTACTCCTCATAGCTGAGCGTTATCCAATCCTTTTGCTCCGGTCGTTCCCAGACCAGGGCGGGAAGCTTTCCAAATTTCTGGCAACTCTCACGAAACAATTCCGGTACTGTGTACACTCCAATCGTATCCTGTTCGTCCTTCCGCAATAGGACCGCCTCGTGCAGTGAGTTGCTCGTGTAGCTGTTCGCCGGCCTCAGCTTCTCCATGTTGAATAAATGTTGAGGCAGACGATCAAGCGATATTTAAAGCAGACATACACACACTCTCTACCTCTCTCTCTCTCCCTCTCACTCCCTCATTCTCTCCCTCTGTGTATTGGGTTAATACTCTTGCCTGATAAGGCTGGTGTGCAGCCAGGCGAACATAGATGACGTAGCTTCTTAATACTATCTTAGGGTATGCGACTGTTCGTGTCTGGCTTGTGCCTGACCTGGTTCTATGCATGACCCCTCGGTCATCTTAATCTTCACGGGACCAGCATACCATTATATATGTATTATACGTATATACATACATATGTACACTGCGCGTCATCAGGTTAGCGCCCCCCTTTACACTCAACCTAAAAGCTAAATAAAATCTAAACCGTCAGAGCTACATCTTTGAAATTTTTTTACATTATACTCCATTTATTTCTCTTTAAAATACAAAAAGAATGGCTACTGTAACAATAAGGATTATTTTTAAATAATTTTTTTTGTAAAATGTACAAAAAACATGTAACAAAAATTTGGTCATCAGATTAGCGCTCCCTGCGCTAAATTCAATTTATTTAAGTTAATGACCAAAAATAACACCTGTATTTTAAGCTATTATTATTTTTAAGTAATATTAGTAGTGCGTAGTGCCGTTTTTTGTTTGAAATTACTTCAAAAATTCGATTAGGAATGGAATTATAAAGTTGTTCAATATTATTCAAGGATATGGTTGACCAAGCGTGTTCAGNCACAAAAAATTTGGTGAGTGTAATTGCCAAAATAAGCAAGATAATTACAATTGCATTTGGGGGCGCTAATCTGATGACGCAAAATAAGTGCACACATTTTTTGCGAAAATAGAGAAGAATAGAAAATAAAACATAACGGGTTTTCACTCGCGCTTTTTTTTGGTATGAGAGACATCTCATATGATGATAATGAAATAAAAACAAAAACCAAGAAGTTGCGTGCAATAGGGAAAGAGAAAAACGTAAAAGAAAATGAGTGTAAGGGGGGGCGCTAACCTGATGACGCGAAGTGTATATGTATATGCATTCCTCACAATCTAAGTACGTCTGATAATTCGGAAATCAGTCGTTAAGTGGCTGATAGAATTTCCGAAATAAGCAATAATAAATAAAAGGAACTTTAGACGTCTGCACACCCTATCAATTGTAATACATGTGTATAATATATATATATCTATATATGAATATGCAGTTTTTTTCCAGATGTCTTTTCTGTCCAGTCATGCTTAGTATTACTTCTAGCTGTAAACTCTTGTAAGCTTTTCTTCTTATTATTATTACAAAAGAAGAATAATCTTGCAGTCCAGTGACGTAAATCGGTACAAAGACATTGGCTTTTATAATCTTAAAATAAATCTTAACAGAAGAGAAATTCTTACAAGGGTTCAAAAATGAATCCTTATATACTGTGAATGTAATATTTACCTGGGATGCTCTATAAACATCGATTTCCGATAATTATCGATATCGAAATCAAAAACATCGGTGTTTTCTGAAATCGAGCATCCCTAATGGATTTTACCTATAGCGTACAGTATATGTATTCAACTAAAACTAACTTTCAGGACACAAAGGATAAAATTATAAATTCTCAAAGCATTATCGAACGATGGATCAGAGAATGTATTAATATACGGTGATATATTTAATCTCTCTAAACACATAGACACATTAATATACAGCATTTTTATATTATTTAAATTTTCATCATCAACGTCAATGAAATCCATCAATGCACACACATACATATGTGCATATATGCATTTTTATTGTATATAGATAAGACCTCTTCATATTTTAAAATATCGGCTCTTGTTATCTTCAATTTTTATGTATATATGAACATAGTATATACATACATTATTATACATACGTATGTATGTATGTATGCATGTCTGACCTCTCATAATCTCCGCAAGTCACCATGCCTATGGCAACATGAGCTCGTCGTGCACATACATACATACATGCACGCATACATACATACATATAGTATATATTCATGCATAAGTATATGGACATTGCCCCTATCAACAATCATAATATGTATATTTGCTTTCATATTTCATATTCAAAATTTAAGCGTTATGCTTTGTAGCCATCTCTCAATTGCTCCAGAACATATCATAAAGACAAACAAACACATGCAAATATAAACACACACACACAGCAGTAAATATGCATAACTGACCTGCGACAAACACCTGCGGCCGATCGAAAAGCACAGCTGAGCAGCAGGCCACAAAACAACACCAAACTGCATGGCGCTCGGTCAGCCAGCCATAGAGAGTAAGAGTGAGAGCGAGCGACCGAGCGGGTTAGGTAAAAGAGCCACACGAAATAGCAATACAATCAATTGTGGCTGCCGCTGCTGCTACTGCGGCCATACATAAAACATGTAACGGTTCTTCTTTGCTTTGCCTTGCTTGCTACGACTCCCCTTCCGAAACACACACACACGCCTAAAGCCTGGTCAGCTACGCTCTCGCATTACACGAGCCCAAACATAATACGCACACACACACACACCCTCACAGGCGGTGACACATGCATAAATACATATGCGTGCGTGTGTGTATGTATGTGAGGCAGTGAAATAGAAGCAGAAAAAACTCAAATACTGTGGGCTCGCCTCAGCTGGCAAATAACAACAAAGCAGAAGAAGCAGAAGCAGAAACGGCAGCAAGCAAAGTCGCCGTCAACAGAGGCGCTGGCTGTGCATTGATGTGCGCCTGTTCACCCAACAGTCATTTTTTGTACAAATTTATAATTTATTGTTTAATTTATTTTATTGCAAAATGTCAAACAGCCGCGCACACACATAGGGGCCGGGGAATTTATTTAAATAGGAGTATGTACAATTATGTTTGTTGCACAGCGAAAAGAGCCGCAACAACTACAACAACAACGTGGCTATGCTATATTATTAACCCAATTGTAATTGTTGCAATTTGTAGCTGACGGCTTATCATTTGTCATGGGCGCAACAACAACATTATTATGAAATTATTTACCAATGAACAGCAGCCCATGAATGTCAAACAAGTGTAAACATTGCCGCTTCCATGAGCATGGTCAAAACGGGGACTTGTGCGAGGGAGATGGCCGATGGATGGATGGGTGGAGATGGAGGTRGATGGGGCTTGGCATTAAAACTACAAACACAAATAGTTGCATATTGCGTTTGTGTATTCCTTTTGTGCTTGTACACAGTAAACAAACAGTAAGCAAGAGTCGGCTCTGCTCGCGCACATAGGCAAGTGTCGGATGTGTAACGGTATAACAAAGCAAAATATATGTATAAAAAAGCAGATGGATAGTCGGGCGGGTCACACTGGGCTCCTTATATATTATATTGTTATATTGTATGTGCTTGCATAGTAAATCTATGTGTATATATTATGAAAATATTGTTATTTATGTATGTTTGTGTTTGTATACAAAAAAATCACTTACCTACGCTTTAGCTATAACAACAATCAAATCAGCAATTGCGATACGCCCAGCGAGTCAGCAAAGCTATTAGAGTGGACCAGCAAGTTTCAAGAATAGAAAGCTAAGAAAATTCATTCAAGTCTAAATATCATATAGAACGTGTAAAGCCAGTTACAATAAATTAGGGTGATCCAAAGTGTCATTATTTGTTAATAACGTAGGACGCATGTATGTACATACATACATACATACATACATACATATATTAAACATTATTTATGCATACAAATATTTAAAATGCATGTACTTATAAATTTAAGGAAACCATTTGAAACCTTTTTTTTTTTTTAATCATTTAGAAAACTAATTATGTATATAAAAAATAATACTTATAAATAATATAGTGCTAATAATATTAATAGAATAATACAGTAGGAACAAAATATTAAAAATTTCAATTTCTGTAATATGTGGCTCACTCTAAGCATTCAGTTCCATATGACACATATGTATACATACATACATGAGCATGTATTAATTTTTATTGGGTGTATGTGTACATATTTATGTACTCTATATTCTAAAACGGAACTGAAAGACAGTTTACCCCACCTCCCCACAATAAAAACACTTTTCAATTGCTCACACACCAAATCAAGCACATTCACTACATACAATACGTATACATACACCCGTATATATACATATGTACATATGTATGTATGAATTTGTAAATATAAAAAGAACTAGATATGGACACACTCTCATCCCAAGTGTCATTTGTATTATATTCGCTATAACGGAACCGATATGCATGCTATCGCTATTCCCATCCACTCTTCGTGAACACATTGTCGTATGTGTAAGTAATATGTGTTGTATATATTTACACGCACGATTCGTGACGCTAATGTATTGTCAGAGGTGGTTGGGTCGGCGGGGGTGGGGGCGGTACACATATGCATGTCTGTGACTTTTGTAGATTTGTTTGTGTACATATAGATATAGCAAAATAACCAGGCGCACAGCATTGATTAGCAAGCGAACCAAAGCCAAAGCAAAAAGTTCATGCGAGCGAAGTGAATGAGTGAGTGAGTGAGTAGCCAGCCAGGCAACAATAACAACAGCAACAAGTACACACAACAATAAAGAAACACATATTCATATACAACAGTCACAACAACAACAACCACACAACCAACGGCAGCACACAAAACGATACACACACAAAACTACTAAAAGAGACAGAGAGATGAGGCCGACGGACACCCGAGACGGCGTCGACGACGACGACGATGACGACGACGACGACGACGTCGACAGATAAACAACATTTATATTCATGTACCCGGCAGTAACAAGAACAACAACAACACAAGAAGTGTGGCGTACACAAACGCACACAAACATAAAAGAAGCAAAACAACAACAAAAAGCGAAAATCAAATAACATATGTATGTACATATTGACAAACAAGTGAACACATGTATGCGCATATAAGCATACACATGAGTATGTTAGTATGTGTATACATGCATTGCACTGGCACGATTCATCCACCGCACTTGGCGCTCTGCTCTCTTCGCTCTCCCCGTCTACCTTTGCAACTCATTCAAACTCATTTCTACGCTCATGAGAACAGCGACGCCAACCTCGCAGTAGCATATCGGCAGCAGAAGCAGCAGCAGCGCCAGCCTCAGCAGCAGCAGAGTTGTTACGTGGGTCGCAGCGGTAAATGGAGAGGGAAACGAGCACATAAACAACAACATATTCCTACATACTTACCTACTTATATTATTAGCTGTCGCTGCTCTCTTAGTTGTGCTCTCTCTCTATTGTCTCTCGGCACGCTCGCTCGCTCRGCCACATAAATGGCAATTACAATAAACAACCGGTATTAAAAACTGTTTTAAATCCCCTAAATCATTAACACAGGAACGACGCAAGCAAAGCAAAACTACAACCATCAAAAATGTCAAAATCGTTAAAGTTGAGCAGGAAAAACAAGACTATGCCAAATATCGTCTTTTAGGTGGTATTGTACTATATATCTCACATGTCTTGACATTTGCTGCTTATCATGATTTATTATACGATTTTATTTAACCAAAATAATTTTAAAGATTTATTAGCTATGCCAACTCAATTTGGTGAGTTTTGCTGGGTGTGCACCACAATGAGCAAATGCGAGCAAGAGCACGAGAATTCGGTGCAAAGTAATAAATGAGTCAAAAGCGAATATGCAATTGAATAGGCAGCTGCTGAGAAGGTCGATCCCCCTAACATTACATTGCGACACATGAGTGTGACGTCACAGTTAACACGTAGGACAAATACTTTAATCATTTGAGCTCATTTCTATGTGAGTAATTATTGTAAATGTTCACCCTGCGGTCAGTGTTTTTCATAGAGCTTATCAGTTTTCCGGCCAACAGCGCAGTTTATTGTTGACTTGACTAACGAGCAGTGGAAAATTCTTAATGCTCGAGCTTTGATTGATGTCAATAGTTGATAGCTTTTTGACACATCATGAACAGTTGCTCTATGCGTTGATGCGTTCTAAAGAGTACTGGCAGAGTTTTAAATTTTAAAATGGTATTGCGAGATATACATACATGTACTTTTATAATTTTTTTTACATATTTTTAATATATTAACATAAAAATTTTTATATTTATTATTTTTAAAAGGTGCGTGGCACTAATATGCCTTACCGCCACTGTATGGAACAAAAAGTCTGGTTTAGCAAATCTTTATTTGACTATTAATTATTTGATATAATTTGTAATTAATTATTAGAAACTATACCATGAATTTAAACTCATGTGTTAATATTCATTTATCAAAATACCTATACTCATTTTTTTGGCCGAGCCTGTTTCCCTCAACGTCTGCACATTTATCTGACCGTCAGTGTAGAGAAATAACTTGTTGTAAAGAGCCGATAATCGATCAAATTAAGTTGCCGTTGTTGTTGTTGTTGTTGTTAGTGAGAGTGACGTTTACATCAACAACGAAGTCAAGTCCAAAGACGCTCACGGCTATTGCGACGTCATCAAATAAGAAGAGACTCAACCTGAAAGTCCCACGGACAGTAACAGACATAAGCATAGAACACACGCACGCACGCATGTATACATATCTACATATGTGCATACATAAATACATATGTAAGTATATACATACATATGGATGTATATCTTGAAATGTTGTTGCTCTTCACGTGTTTAGCTGTTGTTGCCCATTACGTTTCGTTTTCATGCCATTTCTGGTTTTGGCTTGCTCATTACAAGCCTACATATTTATATATTTGTATACATATATGTGTCTCTGTGTATATGTGCATTAACATATACCGGCACATATGCATGATACATATGTACATCCATACAAACATAAACACAATTTGAGAACGTTGACGGCGACGGCAACGTCGCTGTTACCGTTTTAGCTGCGCGCAGCAAAAGCTACTTCTACTCGCACTACATATGTACATACCAACAACAGCAACAACATTAAATATACATTTTGCCTACATGTGTCTACGTGCGCCTGCTAATCATTTCTGTGCGCCTGCTTTGTGCTCATGTTTATTTGTATATATCGAGCAACACAAACGCACAAAACACATATGCAAAAATGAAATAAAATAAAGCCCGCTACATACACTTGAGCATACATATATTTATGCAGTTAGATAGTATGTAGAAATGTATGTGAGCTACAACAAAAACACGCTGAGTAAGCGCTCAATTACAAATGTGACTGCGAGTGTGTATACTTACATACTTTCTAAACGCTGTTTTCGCTGTCGTTGCTGTTGTTTTTGTTGTTGTCTGTTGAGCCGAGACTCGGCTTGCTTAGGGATTATACACACACGCGACAGATATACTCGCGACGTAACGGTAACGTATGGTTGCTTTACGTTAAAGCAGTGCTCGCTTTGACTATGTATTCACAGAAGTATTCCGATTTCCACTCACAACGCAAGACGTAAGGTTGAGTTAGATTGCAATGCTCACTGACGCTTGATTCCGTGACTGCTTGCCGGCTTAAGCCATTTTACATTTATATATGTATGTATATGCCTTTACAAACGTACATACATACACTCACTCCGCTCACGCGTAACGATAAATTTGATTTGATTTTGATTTCCACTCAATTTGTTTACGTGTACTTGACGCAGCACTGCTTGGACGAATCATATACATACATATGTACATGCGTATGTATGTACAAATATACATAAGTACATATCAAAATGTTACAATCATGAAGTAATTGTATATTTGAGTAAACTCATAGCAGAACGAACATTAAAGATTAATTTACACTGTTAATAGACTCCGACTCACTCAATAGCTCACTTCGCAATAAGGCTATGCCTAGCACATGTACATACGTACATATGTATGCATATCTCTTTACGTGACGTAACGATACATTTGAGTAACATTGCGAGCTTTCGTTAAGTGTGACTCCGCTCCCACTCCATTTCGACTGCTCGCGAATCGTGATCTTCGCGAATTGCCGAAATCTTATTGCACTCTTTAGCGCCTTACCCTGCCTAGTAGCATCACTGTTAAAGAGCATTGCGTAACATAATGGGCGCTGTTAAGAATTTTGCTGAATTTGCTGTTAAACCTTCAAAAGATTATTCGTTTTTAGAATTATATAGTAAACTTTAATAATTAAAAAATGATAAAAATTAAAAAACGAAAAATATTAATGAATTATTGTACAATCTTTTATTTGTTTTATTTGCCGAATTTTCTCATTGAATTTAATTTTTGTCAAATTAAAAATTCATTCAATTCCAATTGAAATTCTTGTTATATCCTTAAGCAAAATATTCTGCGCGACCTGTGCGGACAGGTGCGTTAACTTGATTGCGCATCGCACACAAACTGACAATAATAATAATTGTTAGTATAATGCTAACGAATAGGAGTAGGCCTATGATGAGAGTGGTATTATGAAGTGTTCCTTTTACTATAACTTCATCGTTATCTACAGTTGTCGTATCACTACCCAATACATGATGCGATTGCTTTTGCATATGGATATTACCAAAGTTTATGCTTGGCTCAGACAATTCTTTTCTATATTCCCGATCGCTTGGATCTATTGGATCTACGAGATGTTTCATCATTGAATTTTGGGAGGAACTATTGTAATTGCTTTTATTCATCGAATCGTAATGCTCTTTCTCATATATCGACTCATTATAGTCTATGAGATTTGTTTGATTTAGTTCTTGATTTCGTTCTTCTAGAATTGCATCAGCTATCCATTGATATTCTTTATCCAGAGCAGTTAAATTTGCTTCGGTTGCATTTTCTAGATGTGTTTGATTTGTAGGAATTTTCGAATATATTCTTTCTAAGTCTAACAACAGCGATCTTTCAGTTACCAATGTTCGCTCGATTGATTTTGCTTGTGTTCCGTCGTGGTTGAGCTGTTCTATATCATCTGTGCTGAAAAATGGATTGTGTTGATTTTGATCAATTGGAGTTGAGTGATCTATCAGAGGAGTCATCCACGAAGTCGCAGTCGTAGACAATGGATCCGCTTGATAAATCATAGCTGTTTGATCAGTCCCATCAATAGCATCATCTACAGATCCAATTTCAATTCTCTGATCTTTTGGATGGAGCTGATTTGTCGTATTTCGATCGGTCTGAATTGAGTGATATATCCGAAAGATATTATGATTTATCGGATCTTTTTTATCTATTTGTAGTACATTGATAGATGGATTTCTGTGATCTTTAAGATCAGCATTAGATGAGAGATAATTTTCATAATCACGATTTTTCCGATCTTGTTTATGCACCTGTTTGATGTTTACTATTCGATTGATAGACGATCCTGCATCTAAACTCTCAGTTAGTAGTTCTGGATGAGTCTTGACTGTCTGATCCACTGGATCACTGCACACATATTGCTGTGGCAGTCTCTGAGCTGGATCCTGGCAAATCAGCCGCTCGCTGAGACTATTGCAGACGCATCGATCCAGCTGTAGACAAGGCTCCGTCTGATTCTGGCGACAAATGGGAACGGTGTTGGGTGTACGACCACTCAACAGATGGCTCCAGCTGAAGTACTTTAGCCAGCGAGTGCTCCGACAACGGGACTCACATTGCTCGGCAGGCTGGAGTAGCTGCGGCACTGGCTGGCAGCTCAGCGACTTGCGACTCTTCGCGTAGCCGGGCCAACAGCGACAGCGGCCAGGCGAAATGCAATCGCCATTGCGACAGGCGTGGCATTTCGGCTGGCAGCCGGCGTTGCTGAACTCGTGCTCGCTCAGTATTTCGTAGCCCAAGTCGCAGGTGCATTGCTGTGGAGCGGTGCACTGGGCGTTCACGCACCGGGGATTGCAGCGGGGTCGGCACCCGCCCGGCGTACCCTCATAGCCTTTGCAGCAAACCTCACGCAAACTCCAGCCCTACCGGAAGAATTTTCAATTCAGGAGAAACTCTTTCCACTACATACACACCTACCACCTCTTCATTCGTTCTGTTTGCTCTCTGGGGCACTCGCTCGTGGCACACGGTTCCCTTCTGTGCTCCCAGCCAAGGGAGGAAGACGAGACTCAGGCCTAGGGCCAGCCATGATCGACTCATGGATTCCAAAAATTATAGGTTTCTCACTTGAAATTTATAAGCAATACTTGCCGCGATCTTAACTTAAGATTAGCCATTGCCAAAACGATATGTTGTTTTTCTTTTCTAGAAATTTCATTTAATATTTTGTTTTTCTACTTAGTAAAGCAAATGCCAGAGACATGTTTCGCAAAGATTTATTAGATATTTAGTTAGTTTTTAATCGTCGTCCTGATCAGAAATATATTAACTTTATGGGCTCTACCACACCACCTTCTGCCTATTGCGTACATTTTTATAAAACTTTACACCCTCATTTCTCAGTTTAAAAATATATACAGTTGTTATTTATTGAGCAAATATTAATCACAATTATTATTTATTTCAATCAACAAAATATTTTTTTTTCTATATTTTCTAAATGTGAAATACAACGTTTTATTTTTATCAGTTGTGGCTAGGTGATTAATAGTTATGTATTTATATATATTATTATGTATAGAGTTTAAATATAGTTCTGATTATATTACAATTACAGACGTATCCGAAAAATTTGCATTCGGTTAATAATTGACACTTCTGCTGCGCTTGATGCAGTAGATGATGATGCCACTGATGCTGCAGACTACTATGAGTGTAATACACCCGATCAGTAGGTAGATTAACCATGTGGCTGGAGAGCTACAGCTAAGACTCTGAATGTTGTCCGGCTTGAAACCCTTTTGGCACTTACAGCGATTTATACTCTCGCAATAACTGTGCAGTCCACATTTCGGCTCGCATTTGGGCACACATGTCAGTTGCTTCGCTTGCCACTCGTAGCCCGTGGCACAGACGCATTTTTCAGGCGCCACACATTTACCATGAATTCCACAGCTATGTGTACACACTGGCTGGCAAGTACCATTCACAGTGGCATATCCCTCATTGCATTGACATTGATCGACATCGACACACTCAGAGTGTGGATCACACTGTGGATTACATTTCGGCTTGCAGATCATCTTCTCCGCATCATATTCGTAGCTCTCATCGCATTTACACTTTTCAGGCGCGGAAATCATAGCCGTGTGTACACACTGGCTGACAAGTGTCATTAATGAATGGGGTGTAGCCCGCGTTACATTCACAGATATTGGGCGCAATGCAAGCGGCGTGTAGATCACAATGGGGATTACACAGTGGATGGCACTTGTTGTCAGTTGAACTCCATTTGTAGCCCGGCCTGCAGAAGCATATATTGCCCCCAGGACAATCACTGTGCTCAGGACACTTATACGAACAATCCTTTATGCAAATGCCTTTCGCCTCATGATAGCCATGCCTGCACCTACACAACAGTTGTTGAGATTGGCATGCCACTGCTCGTCCGGTTGACAATATTCGCTGATCTCAAAGATCTAAAACACTCAAAAA